TYSWTWMMCGCGCGTCCTTTTTTTTTTTTTTTTTTTTCCTTTTTCCGTYTTTTTTTTTTTTTCGTGTTCCCTTTTTTTTTTTYTKTYATGTTCCCCCTTTTTCCCGTCGTTTTCTTCTGTCCGTATTACTCTGTCGTGTTGCCCCTTCTTTTCAGTTGGCGACGACAAAAACATTTATGTCTCCCCTTTTTTCGTATTCCTCTGTCGTGTTGCCCCTTCTCTTTTTTTTGTTTTTGGGATTGCCCCTTCTTTTCAGTTGGCGACGACAAAAGCAAGGAGGCCCGGCTGGCGGCAGGTACGCACACCCACCCACCCACACGCATGACCCACCCACCCACGCACCCACGCATGCACGCACGCATATACACGCACACACGCACGCACCCACCCACACATGTTAGTATTAGTATATATATACAGTATTTGAATTTCGTTCACAACGGTTGGGTCGGGGTTTGAACCCATGCACAGATTTCGAAATACCCAATTGCCCGATGCTATAACCACTATGGTGGACTGGGTCCCTGTCTGTTTTTGGGGACTTCTGTCTTTTGAAGTGTATCCGACGTCAGGCTGCAGGCACGTCAAGATGTGCCTGTGTGTCCGAACCCTAACGTCGCGCAGGCGGGTCCGGGCCAAGCATTTTCAAGCGTGAAGTTTGACGATTTTTAACGCTCAGAAAAATTGGCAAAACAATCTGAAAATTTGATACCCAGAAAAATTAAAAAATTAAAAATTAACGGTGAAGTAAATGCCGCGCTGTTTTGTCACATTTTCTTTTTTTGCTACTCTACCACGTATGGGCCAATGGGAAAAGAAACCCAACTTTCGCGATTTTTCACAATCAGAAGGATGACCCAACAACTCTGAAACTTTGAGGGTCTATAGATCTGGTCGTGATCTTTACACGAAAATATTTAACAAAAATTAAAAAAATCATTTCAACCATGAAATAAATCACGGGGGTAATTCAATGCAAATTTTAAATTTTGTCACTCTCCCAACTCCCCCCACTGTACTGCCGGTAGCCCTCATGGACCCGTGGTCCTGTGCTACCAGTTCCCCCTATTTTTTTTTTATTTTTTTTTAAAGGGCGGCAGTCTTTAGATATATCCATAGGTGGCCAGGGGCCTGGACCCACTAGCGAAGTATTCTACGATGTGTGACACAATTTTATGTTTTTTTGGAAAATACAAAGGGTTGAAATAGCACATAAAACTATGAAGAACAGTTGTGCACCCGAATTCATGCGCTGGTACAATCTCCTTCACGTAAGTCTTCATAGTGATGTACCGTGGCAATAAAATGTGTCCACGAACACAGCCACGAGGATGAACAAGTAATGGCTATAGGGATACATTCATCCCCATGTATCTCATGATGCCTCTAACAGGCCATCCGACAGATGCGGAAGCGTTCCTGTCAGATCCACCACGATATCGGAATTTCACATTTCAAGTTCTATTTCTCAGAGCCAAAAAAGAAAAAAACGAAGTCTGGAAATCAACCCCCCCCCTTTAGAGCCCATAAAATCCGGACTTCCCGCCCACGCAAAGCCACGAGCTATCATGTCCAAGTTAGTCCAACTTTGTTTTGTTTTTTTTGCCAACGCATCTCATTGGACGGAGGTGGGCATCCTTACAGTTCCCGCTCAGAAACCACCAGGCTGTCGAGATCCTATCTATTCGACGGCCGTACTGTGTCACTTGAGTCCACACGTGATCGAAGTCCTGAACGAAGTGGTAGAATACTTGGCTAATGCGTCCAGGCCCCAGGGGCCTGGAGGGAGATCCCACTAACGATGTATGTGGAGTGCTGTGACAGTTGCGGGACCGACTAGCAACGCGTAAAACGGTGTGTGGCGCCCGTTTTGCATTTAAACACATGAAAAAAAAAACATTCACATGCACTTTGGACCTGAAATGGGTCGGATACATCCATCGATGCTGAAGTGTGAGCTGGTGCTCGATGAGGGCAGCTGAGCAGATCACGGGATACGCCTTGCCTTGCTGGCAGGGACTAAAAGAAAACGAAAAAACCCAAAAAAGAAAGAAAAAAACGAATTGAGAATCTTACCTGCATTGTGGTTAGATTCGATGTCGTAGGTGTCAGCGTGAGCACGACCACTGTAAGTGCATTTCCTGAATTGCAGCACCTCCGAAGACTATGTTTTTTTTTTTTTTTTTTTCCGACTTTCCAAGTCGTAAACAGGCGACCGGACGTTCTCTGTACGACCCACTGGGCAGCCCGACGCGTTAACGGGGCCAAGTACTGGTGGTTTAAGCCTCCGAAAATATCATGAAACTGAGGATCTCAACCCTAATAAGCATCGTAATTATGAAAGTCAACTATGATGATCTTGACTGAGAACTCACCCTGAGAACTCTTTTTATTGGATGTGTATTGGGTGTGTCCCAACCGGCCGTAGCAGGACCTGAGCAGCCACTTCCACTTGGCCCGATGCTCCCGCATTGCAACCGGTTACAGGGCGGCACAACTCGCCCCGACGATTTACCAGTGTTGACTGGCTGTGGCCACCAATCCTTCTCAAGACACTGAAAATGACGGCAACGGGAATAGAACCCAGCACCTACCCGGTGCCGCTCATGGATGAAACCTACTGAGCTAGCCGAAAAAAACGGTT